GAATCTGAGTTCTAACCTCATTATTAACTAACCCTTGAGCTGTGCGTTTGGGATTGGTTTTTCTGTAGTGATTGAAGTGATCCTCCAATGCTTTTCCCAAATGAAAATAACAAAGAATAACATCTTGAGACATTTTTTTATTAATATCTTCAGATTCTATGATTTTTTGATATAAATTAAGGAAATTGATTGTATTTGTCACGGGGGCAAATTTAGATTGCAAAATTTCTGCGTTTTTAGAAGTATCAGTAGACAACTCACTGATAAGTTTTTTAGTATAGGCGAATCTTCCTTTCTAACCTGCTTCTTCATTTTCTTACTGGATGATTTGCTGGTAGACTCACTAACACGCTTTTTAGGTGAACTTGAATATAGTTGGAGGTCGTTAAATAGGTTTGGAGATATATCCATCAAATCGTTAATATTCTGACTTCCAGGCATGCTGTTAACCGTAGATTCTACCTCCTTCTTGCAATCGGGCTTTGGGCATATTGAACGTTTCTTGATAGAAGTTTCGATACAATCACGATGATATATATGGCCACAGACCAGTATGGTAATCGGGTTTTTTATTTCAAATAAAAAAAGTTCTTGATTGCATAACGAGCACGGGTCTAGTTCAGGAATATTAATATTGCTTGCAATTTTTTCCGGAGATGAATCCTTAAGAATATTTAAGGCAAAAGTTTCGAGGCATGAAATATTGGTAGACATAACTTATATAAGTTTCTGAAAACACCCATCTTTTCTCATCTCATATCAGCTATATACCCGCTCATATATCACTCGAAATTATTACAACCCAACTCGAATTGGCATTACGTCCGAAACGGTGCAAAGATAGGTAAATTAGTTGAAATTTATGATCGACGAAAAACATAAAAATTAATCAAAAAACGACGAATGAGGGTATATGTGAGAAATTGGGTTGCACAAAAAAAATATGTGGATCTAACCTGTAAAGTGCTTATTCCTCTGCATCCACGTTATCTCAATCATATGCTTCAATCACGGGTAATGGAAATGTAATACGTAAAAATAGTTAACTTACCAGATGATTAATTTATTTCTTGTGGCATTTTCGCTTTTTTTACAACTGTGACCTTACATATACCTTCCGGACCTGAATTGGGGGAATAAGAAGTGGTTGTATCAGAAGTGTCAGTATCCGAATCTGTGGAATACTTGACTCCACCTTTCTTGCTCTTATTTTGACATGAGCGAGAATTAGAAGGACCTGACTCAGATTTTATCCATGGTATCTTTCCTTTATTTATACAACTTAGTTCATACTCGATAATACAAAGTTTTTCAAAAATTCTATACTCTATATCATTTTCTATGTGTTGGAGATACAGGAGGTATGATGACACGATGCCTCTTTCGTTGCTTATTATCTTTGCTTCTGAGAGATAAATTCTCGAACATATTCGTGAGTTCCTCCAATAATAGATCGGACCCAGGTGAGATATTTTTAGTGGTGCTGGCTTTGTTAAAATCTTCATCGATTAATGGGATGCTCATACCTTCTATTATAATTTTAGCATGGTGTTCACAGGTTTCAGAAGAAAATTCAAAGCTTATTTTTGCTTCACGCATCCATAACCAATCTTGCCCCAACACCAGATCGAATGACGAATTTTTGCAAATTTGAAAGTCTATTAGTTCAGTATCACCCAAGTTTTGCCACTTTCCTTTAATGTGAAACTGTAAATCTAAGCTTTTTATTTCTTCGCCTATCAGATCATCACCAACTACACCTTCTAATCTGTGATCAGATTCAAGCTTATTGAACAAGTGTTTGCTAATAGTATTAGATTTAGATATTGTATCTATTAATGCTTTAACTGGGAATTTTCCTTCTACGAGACAATTTATAAACATTGATAAAATAATTATATTATATACTATATCTTTAGCCAGAAAAAATAACTAAGTTTAGATAATTAATTATACATTCTCGAGATCAGAAGAGTCTGTTACAGACTTTTTATTTAATAGATAATCAGGTCCAAAGGGTGCCTCTATGAGGCATGGAGTTAACCGAAAAAATAAATATGGCAGATGGGTAGGTTGACTCGCTTTCCCTATATTTGATAAATAAAAAATCTCGGAATGAAATTAATAGAATTAGCACATGGTTTAGTTATGTGTGAGTACATGTGTGTATGGATTTCACTAACGCCTCTCGATAATTAATTACAGATTGAATTTTTATTTACTATATATATTTACTCAATTATTACTTAACATGTCAACCTCTAGTAATATGGAAATTTATAAACAAATCGATGAATATAAAGAAAAACTAGTTGCAAAATGAATGTATGGCAATAATTTTGAGATTTTATCTCTTGGTAGATTTATTGCTAAACGAATTTTACTTCATGAGCAGGATGTAAGTTATGTTCGTAATAATAAAATAGAGCATGTACCA